TGACTGCCTGACGGTCCGTGTCGTCAGTGCTAGTGTTAGGTCCGCAGTTAGCTGCAGCCTGCGCGAGAGCTCTTTGTCTCGTATCCCGACGACAATTCGGTCGCGGATATTCTCATCTCGGCTTGCGCCAAACTCACAGTGTTCTGATAGATCATACAGGGCTCGGATGAAACCCTCTGCCTTCTCCCCTGGCCGCTGGACACGCTGGTGGAAACATGCCCTCTCGTGGATAACGTTCCTCCTCGGGAAAAAGTACTCGTTGAACTTTCCCACCACAACGGCAAAGTCATCGCCGTCATCTTCTTCGGCAAAAGTGAACGACTTGAATATGTTTTCTGCCTCGTTGCCCATGGCATAAATCAGGCAGCTCACCTGCACTCTCCCGTCATCTTTGTCGAGTTTAGTAGCGAGTCTGTACCGCTCAAAGCGTTGCCTCCATTCTGGCCATTCAGTCGGCTTATCAAAAGAAAAGTTCCCTGGGGGATTAAACTTCGCCATTCCGCCGTCTATATTCCTTTACTTTGTCTTGTTTATTTCCTGTGACTCACCGGTCACTTCTGACACCATGTAGAATGATCGAGGGTCGAGTATCTTTCACGACTCAGGTTTATTGTACAGTAAGTCAAGACATTACAGTAAGCAGCAACATGACAACTCGCGGGCTTACTCCGAAGTAAAGCAGTCCTTCGCATGCCATAAAGCATGTCGCAACACTGCCGTAACAGCCTTAACTCAGTATGCATTGTATGCATATGTGACAGTTTCCAAGAACACCAAGTTCTGTATTTTAAATTACATTTACATGAATCAAACATCATTATATAGGAAAAGCTGGAACACGAAAATATAGTTCATATTTTTGCTAATTAAATGACTCAAAATCAAATGTATAGAGATGTATTTTCTGTTTTTTTTAAGCTTGTGTTTAACCATCTGATTTATCCGTGCGCGTTTTCCCTCTTTTGTCCCACTTCGCTTTCCTTACTAACAAAGGGGCGGGAACAGAAAGGTCACGGGAGAGGTGCACGCTGGGAAAACACGTGTAGTGGAAGACCAGAGAAGTATGGCTGCAATTTTGTGATTATTGTTATTTTTAAACGATGTTTCAAACACATTTATTGTTTGAAACATCAAACATTCACTCCAGCTATATATGAATGGTACAAGCAACTTCCAGAGCAGCTGATTCGTTCTGTTACACAGCAAAGCAACATTTCAAAAAAGAAGTGTGTGTATTTGTCAGCTGCTGTCTGGGTTTCCCGCCGTTACTGTTCATAATCAGTGTTTCGGACCTATTGTTTACATGTTGACTGAAACCGAAGCACAGCGCAGGATTTCTGACATTTATCTCAGTTTTAACATTTCATTTTTAGATAGCAGAAGTCATAACTGCTCTATATTTCTCACTGTGAAAAGACTGGGTTTCTGTTGGTCATTACATGCTCACTTAGTGATCCAGTCACAGCTTCAGTAATACCCAATGACTATTTTAATCATTTTATGTGGTTTAAATACATTTACTTAAGTACTACACTTTAGTAATGTATGTGTTCTTTACTAGTGTTGCATGCATACTATTATATATGATACCGATGTGGGTCATTCTGCAAAACAAGTACTCTTACTTCAGTTATTTAAAGCTCCCATGTCATGCTTTTCCGGTTATTACCCGTCCCCTTGTGTGTTATGAAGGTTTTTATGCATGTAAACGGTGTGCAGAGTCAAAACCCTCAAAGTACACCCTGTAGCGAGTAAAACTCTAACACAGAAAATACCTCCCCAAAACGCCTCGTTGGAGATACGTCACTGCCCATTTGAGTCTTCCATTTAGTTCCGGGTACCGCCTGATGTCATGCGGTACCCGGAACGAAATGGACCAATCCCGAAGAGCTATGGCCACACCAGCAGCGGCGTGTTCCTCCTCCAGAGGTTCGAAGAACCGGCATTTCACAGACGAAAGCTTCCAAAAACATTGCCCAGTTTGAGGCCGGATATGCACAGCTTGTTTGGACCGTTTGGAGCAGGGGAAGATCTGGGTATACAACCTGTAAGTTTGCATTGTTATTTGTGTATTTATCAAACAAGACTGTTTAAATGTGTAAACTGTGTTGGACTGCTAAGCCATTGACACAGTGCTAACTGTGCTAACTAAGTTGCTAGAGTTTCCATATATCAACTCTAATATCAGCAGATGGCCTTGCATACATGTATCTCATAGCAGGAGAATGTCTGCATTCACACACACGGAATACTCATACAGTATACTGTACTGTGATTTACCGTACATTGTGACCGTACATATACTGCATGTAGCTAACGAGGCTAGCTGTATGCTAGCGCAAAACAATGTATTCATGCAAGTTACATTGTATGGTAGCAGAATACCCGTATACGATTGCAATTATAAACACGTTATTGCTAGCCTAATATGAACCACTAGCTTTTGTTCATAGTAGTTTTATTACACTGCATTATAGTTGCCTTTCCTCCAAGCTAACGTTCATATCGTGTTAGCTACCAAGGTAAACAAAGCTAGGTTAGCATATTAGCAGGCAAGCTGTTCATTACACAACTACTACTAACGAATCTAAAACAACTAAGTTTCTCTAATATTTTGTGATTTGCATTTGATTTCGTCCAGCCAGATCCTGGCGGACAATCCATGACGTGCTAAAAGGCACTTCTACTACTACTGAGGCGTCGTGCTAAAAGGCACCGCACCGACTGTGCTGCCTGCGAGGAGGAGGAATGGATGATATACCGTGTATATATGTATATTTATGTTCATTTTGTACATTTCTAAAAATAAAGTTTAATGGAAATACTTAGTAGGCCTATCCTTTCTTCCCTGAATTCATATATAGCAAACCATGATTTGATTTCTCATCAAACAGTAGTAGTTTATAACGGGTAAAAATAACTTACTCTTTGTTATGAGCGGCTCGTAGGCCACAAAGACAAGGAGACATACACGAGTTTACAAAACCACGGCACATTTATTGTGGTAAATGCAGAGATGGTTGAGAGGATCGCAGAGTTAGTCTTCCTGCAGCCGCTTTGGAGAGAGACTGGGGGCCGTAGTGTCCGGAGGTGTCCGTGATCGTGCTGATTAGCCTCTTCAGCTCCACCCCATCGTAAGACAAAGGCCCTGGGGCCGTCACACTCTTCTATAACAACAGTTAAAAATATATATGTATATAAAATATACGGCTGTGCCGACGCCATGATAAGACTGATGTTACGCTGAGAGCAGCCGGGAAAAGACATTTTCAAGGCAAAAGACAAGGCACTGTTAGACATGGGCGCAGCCTCTCTGGTGGTTGACTAATCAGAACGAGTGGCCGAGCTGACCAATCGGAGCACACTAGGCTCACAGGGAGGGGGGGGGCAAGAGCTCCAACGAGTCGTTTAGTGGAGAAAGTGAATACTGCTGAATACACATGCTTGACAGAGATGCTGTATGCGAAACCAATGTGAGTTTGGAAAATTGCACAGTATAAATCTATTTTAGTATACCTCAACAATGTAATTATGATCAGTGGAAATGGCCATGACATGGGCCCTTTAAAGGAACTGAATCGTTGAGGTAACGTTTTTATTGGCATTTTACCAGAAGCCTTAAGAGATACTATCATTAATGCAGTCTTGGCTTCAGTAACAAGTGATTTTATTATTTACACACAACACACAGCTTGTCTTTGAGATGATTTCATCTAAATCACTGAAAGAGTTAAAGGCACAATCTCCAAGTCCTCATGATTTCACATGCTTCAAAAATACCTCACATACAGAACAGAAGAAGTAAAAAAAAAAAAAAACGTCAGTAAAATGTAAAACATGTCGTTCTTATTCATCACCAACGACACAATCAGCACTGTATTTATTACCTTTATTGCACAAAATCCAAAACCATTTATATCTTTGAGGATTCAACGTGCTTTGACCTGTTAAGCTATGTCAGCAGTTCTTCAACTAAAACAACTTCACAAATTCAAGACATGGACAGTTAGATAAATGCCAGGGTCTTTTAACCACAACACAGTGACAGTGGCATTTTAATGAACACAGGACATGTTTAGTGGCACAGCAGTATTATTGTGTTACACAGTTGTCAACAAACGGGAAACCGTTTGGTTTTAGATTCTGGTTCTCGGTCTGAGATCAAACCATTTCTACCCGTGCAAACATTTACTAGTAAACTGCACAAACTGTGCAACATAAAACACATTTAATAATGTCATGTTGATTTTAACTTGAAGGTTACATTGTATTTTTTGTTTCTATACCCATGTCTAGTCTAGAAACGGCAAACTTAAGCATTTGATTGTAAAGTTTTGGATATTTAGAGGGACTGTTGCAACAACCAAGCACCTCGTAAACATCAGATTTAAAACAAACATATTCTGGTATAAAAATGTACGTCATCTCCCGTTTCTGTCGGAGAGAGGGGAGTTTGTCTAAAAGCTTGCCGCTGTATTTGTAAATGAGAGAAGAGAGCCTCATTCAGCTGAGAGTGAGATACAGACGGACTTCACTTCAGAAAACATGACCAATATTAAAGGTCACCTATTATGCAAAATCCACTTCTCCATGTCTTTTCTACATCAACATGTGTCCCCTCTTCTCCATGTCTCTTCTACATAACCATGTGTCCCCTCTGTGTAAAGAGATTCTGAAAGTTTCAGGAACAAAGATTCTCTCTCTTTTTGTCCTGATCCATTTCTATAAAAACCTGTCTGAAAATGAGCTGATCAGATTTTGGCACCTGAATCTCCTCCTAGAGCACCATTGTGTTATTTTTAACCAAATATCTCTCAGAGGGGCGTGGGGAGGGGCTCCTTATTTTTCATCTAAAGTAACAGACAGAGAATCAGCACTTTTGAAACAGGGCTGAAACAGAGGGGATTATGGGATGCTGCAATGATCTGTTTGGTGTTTGGAGCCAAACACTTCAGAGACATGTTTTGTATATATCTGAGACCTATAATATATTGATGAAAAACAGTATAATAGGGGACCTTTAATACATTATATTCAGACTGTGTTACAGTACAACAGGATGAGACACGGTGAGGTGATACATGGAGGTGTTTCCAGCAGCTCCAGGTGGAGAATGATTAAGTGGTCTGAATCCTCAGCAGTAAACATCAGGAAGTCCCTGAGAGTCAGATGAATCCAGTTTCTCTGCACAGCGGCAGAAAGTGGATGAGGATCATGTGATGCAGCTACAAGACTTCCTCTGTTTCCCATGACTGCTGGAAGGAAACACTGGAGTGAAGTCTGTGGCACTGTGGGAACGTCTGTACAAATAAACTGAAGATGTGCGCTTCTTCAGAGTCTGAATCAAACCGCATTATATTTTTGGTTTGTCGTCGTTTCTCTCGTATTACTGCAATGAAAATTGTATTAAACACATGATGAGATGCTACCTTCATTCAGAGAACTATACCCCAAGATTTCTTCCCTACAAATTACATTTTTCTGTAAAAAAAAAGCATATCAATAAAATCAGTTTACAATATTCTGAAGATGTAAGTAGCAACAGGATAAATGTCAGTTTGGCATCAACGGCATAAAAAATAGTTTATGGGAGAAGGAATGTCTTGATTCACAAAAGCTTCTCTCTGTTTGGTACCAGGTATAAGTCCCATAATGCCCTCTGTCTGTCAGTCTGTGGTCATCAGTCAGCGGTTTCCTTCCCCTCACTGGGAGTGCTCTCGGGGGTCGAAGAGTTTATGGTTTTGGTCCCGTACGTGGCCTGCTCCTCGGCCTCCAGCCGGCGGTACCTCGTGTTGAAGAACAGGACGAAGACGCAGGAGAAGACGCCGATCAGCCCCCCTAGCACCAGCATCGGCACTGAGGACACATTTAGTGATATTATTGTAGTTGTATTTTTGTGTTTTATTATATATGTTGCATTGTTGGAGGAGCTCAGGTCAGAATAATGTCATTGCCATCTCTACACTGTAGCTTTGTGCATACGACAATAACACCTTTGAATCTTTGAGTAATGTCGATAGTGTAACAGGAAGTGACGTACCCTTCCAGCTGAGCACTGCGTCTCCACAGGTGGACAGAGGGGAGTCGGCCAGGCGTTTGCTGAGAGCCTGCAGGAGCACGATGTAGAGGAAGGACTGGACCTGTCTGAAACACCACAGGAAACACGCAGCGTCAGTATCAAGATCACATCACATACAGGTTTATTTATACAGCACCTTTCAACACAAGGCAATTCAAGGTGCTTTACAAAAATGAAAGACATTAAGGAACATATTACAAAATGGCATTTAAAAACACACAAGCAAAGATAATAAAGCATGAATAACAAAGGGACATGAATTAAAGGTCACCTATCATGCTTTTTTTAGGCAATAGCATAGGTCTCAGATATATACAAATATATAAAAAACATGTCTATGAAGTGTTTTGCTCAAAATACCAAACAGATCACCCATTCTAGCCATGCCTCATATCTCTCTATTTCACTTCCTGTTTCAAAAGTGCTGATTTGGGGTATAAAGTAGGGCTGTGCAATTAATCGTATTTTAATCGCAATTACGATTTTGGCTTGCCACAATTACGAAAACAACATAATCGAAAAAAACAATTATTTTGCTTTGCTAGGTTGTGACAGTGCACTAGAACATATTTGATCTAATTAATTTTGGTCTCATTTATTTGTATTTATCATATTTATATATGTTTAGTAGCTTTGGGAAGTGCGCTCCAAAATATTTGTTGATCTTGTTTATTGGTATTTATTATTTTGATATTATTTATTTAAATGTATCATTTATTTTTGTATTAGTTTTTCAGTTGCATTATACGTTCAGGGTAATCAACAGTTAAAAAGATACTGTTCAAATTATTATTTGTATTTGTTTTAAAGTTCAATAAATGGATTTTTCAAAGTCAATGAATAATCGTATTTAATAATCGTGATATCAATTATTGACCCAAATAATCGTGATTATGATTTTTGCCATAATCGCACAGCCCTAGTATAAAGGTTTACAAAATAAAAAAGGAGGGGTCTGAGCTCATGCGGGACCCGGCAGCTACTGTCTAAACTAAATACTGCCGTGATGAAACGCCATATCATGGATTATCAAGGATTATTTCTGAAACAGTATGGAGCTCAAAGGCTTTCTCTCTTGCCGGTTATACCACAAGGTGAGTTCCTTTTTATTTCCTGCTTCTTCACACACATGCTCTCCAGTACAGGTTAGCTCTGAGTGTTAGCGATGCTAATGTAAACACCGACCATATTACGTCCAAAACAGTCGGGCATTGTTTCTGATAGCAACTTTCTGATAGTGCCGTGGGTCCACATTTCAGATATTACGTCATATCGGGCGCAAATCTGGATCAGCTCCGTTGTAGCCCCGTTTTTAGAGATTTGGGTACGGAGGAAAAGAGAGAGGGTTTTATTTTCTGACGCTGCGTGAGTTCCCTGACACACCGGGGACACATCTTTATGAATGAAAGACATCAAAAAGTGCATTTTGCATGATAGGTCCCCTTTAAAGTTACAGTGCAGTTTAAGATGTGAATAGTTCAATTAAAAGCAACAATAAAAGTCTTCAGCCTGGATTTAAAAGTAGATCAAGTCCAGGAACTGATCTGTGGACATTTGATTTTTTTAAATGCCATATGTTACAAACTAAATTGACTTTTTCACTTTGAAATGTGGAGCATAGTCGACAGCTCATTTGAATTTCTCTTGATTCTCTATTGTACTTTCTTTAACATGAAAAAGAAACTGAGCTTTGACCATTATTTGACTTCAAACGGTTCAAATGAACAACTCTCTTTTAGGGAGAAACCCAGGACTTTTGGACATAACATCCGGGTAGAAATGTGTTAAAACTGCACATTATTTTACATTTTAATAACAATCTGCCGTAGTGTGATCTGTGTGTTTGCTGTACCCCGATACGAAGATGAGTCCCGAAGACGTGGCCTCTCCGACGGGATAGGTGCACTCCACAGCGAGCTCCATGGCGACGGGGTAGATGGAGAAACCGAAGAAGCCGAAGAGCGAGCAGACGACGGCGATGGCGACTTTCTGCTGCGGCATCAGAGACACCTGAGAGGAGAGAGAAAACTCTGAGTGTCACACAGCATCTACAGGAAGTCATTCATCGGGATTTATAATTACTTTTGTTGTTGTGGTATTTGAGGTCTTGGACCAGCTGCAATGTGATTGGATAAGATAAGATAAGATAAGACTTTATTCATCCCAAAGGAAATTGTTGTGCCAGGGTTACAAAAATACAATAAACACAGCAGCACAATAATAATAAAACTGTACACTATCAGTGCAGTAACAAGAGCAATTAAATATCTACAGGAAACATAGACGGTCACATAATTAATGTAAATATTAACATTATTTAGTATTGCAAAAAAACGTAGTGGCAGCAGTGGTCGCGTTAACCGAATATTTTCCGTCTATGATGGATTTCTTTTAACAATGACCGAAAAATCTGAAAGCAGTCCGTCATTTTGACAGATTAGAACAAACTCAGAACAGCAGCAAAGTATCCCCGCAGTGGGGCTCCGGTGTTATGCCGTGTTATGCATGCCCGTCAAAAAGGAAATTATATCGTTTCCAAACCTAACTTTGCCGAACAAATCTTTGAAATGTCTGGGAGTATTTGCTTTACGCTGCGCGCGCTCCCGCGAGGTGCAGTGGGCATGCATAACACGGCATAACACCGGCGCTAACAGTTCACGAGCCTGCGCCCGCCCCCTGTTGACAGTTCACGAGCCAGCGCCCGCCCCCTGTTGACAGTTCACGAGCGTGTTCTCCCTAGTGATGGGAATTCCGGCTCTTCTTGGTGAGCCGGATCATTTGGCTCGGCTCACCAAGAAGAGCCGGCTCTTTCGGCTCCCAAACGGCTCTTCAGTTTACCACATATTATACCTTTTATAATTCAATCAAATGTAGCCCTGTTTTGACTAATGATTTATATGTGTACACATATCACTTAAATTATTCAATACATCCTTTGTACTGAAGTATTCAAAAGTAAAAATTACATGTTTAATATCAATTATTTGCTGTGGCCAATTGTTTTCATTGCATTTACAGACCCTTGTATCTCTCTGATACCACATGAATGCACAGACTTGCTTGTAGAACCACGCTACACAAAGCAGATAGCAACACCTATAAAAACCTAAGCATAGACATTTAAAAAAAAAGGGCTACTGTATCGACATTTTAAAATTATATTTAAAGAAAAGGCCCTGACAAAACAGCAGGGCTCTATTTCAGTATTAACTATAGAAAAAAAGACAGCAACAGCTGACATCAAATCTTTGCTGAGCCCAAGGATAATCATAAATAAATAACATAGTGAAAATAAATATATTGCAATGCTCAGTACAGCAGCATCCAACTGTCTCTAATCATAAAAAAACATAATACAAATAAATATATTGCAATGCTCAGTACAGCAGCATCCAACAGACTCTAATCCTTGGATATGACATGCCACTGCATGCATGCACGGAGCAGCTGTAGCGCGGAGATCATCATATCATTCTGTCTTGTATTACTTGTAAAAACGGCTCGTTCGCGGGCGCAAGCCGGCGCCCGTCGTTCACTTAAAAGAGCCGGCTCTTTGAGCCGGCTCGTTCGCGACCGACACATCACTAGCTCTCCCCCCACCCCCGTCAGAGTTGTGTACAGACCGACGGGTAATAATGGATTTTGACGGACATTTTACGACATTTTTACGATCCTGTCCGTCAAATTGACGGACAGGATCGTAAAAAAAAGTCTAGCGCCACCTCTGAGTGGCAGATACGTAATTGCACGTTATTATAGAACATTATTAATAATAATAATATTATTGCACATGGTGTTGGTGGACTAACTGACAGGAGAGCTATTTTCTTTATAAGCCATGCTCTCTGCCCTCCTGCTTCAACTACCTTTGTCTTCTTGTACCTTGTCTGTATACATTGTCTGTTTTATTATTGAATTAGTTGAAAAATAAAACAAAACAAGTTTATTAAGGAATAATCAAATGTTGCACAATTTTTCCTTCATAAGCTTTGTGCACCTTTCCTACACAAGAAGGAGAACATTGCTATAAGTGCCTTGCCTTTAAACAAAGTAAAAGCCCAAACAGTGAGTTCTGTTTCCTCACCACGGAGAAGGCGATGCAGGCGACAGCGCTGAGGCTCAGGTTGATCTTCGTGGCTTCGATGAACTTCTTAGTTTTATCCACGATGAGACCGAGAGCGCCGGCACCGACTATCCCGAACACGATGAAGAGCGCTCCACACACACCGGCAAACTCCTGCAGAAGAAAAAAAAAGATTGTATATATTTATTGTCACAGTCTGCTAACTGTGGGTGAGAAACCAGGGTCTGAAGTCTTTCCTGTTCTCCTATCAGCAGGGTATATGCAGGAATCCTGAAGTCACATGTAAAACCTTTTAAGACCTTTTCTAAGACCCTTTCCATACATTTTAAGACCTCATCGCCACTTCGAGTTCTAACCGGTTACATTGGCGACACACTTTACCTCACATTGACTATATACAGTATTGATTGTCCTTCCTCCTTATCTTCCAACCATTTGGACGCAGACTTGCATTTCCCCATAACGATGTTGTTTAACAACCGGCGTAAACGGACCTTCTCGCGCTATCAAGCAGTGAGCGTGCGATGTCCTGTTCAGATGACGTCAAACCCAACGGGATGCCATAAATAAACTACACAGAATCACACTACACACCTACGCAATGATTACATTCAGGCAGACTGTAGAATACAACCTCTTTGGACAATTTATATACTTATTGAAAACAAGCTACAAAATGTAATACCTTGGAAAATGACTTTTTAATAGCCTTCATTTTCGCTAAAAATAATGCAATAATGCAAAAATGATCTTGAGTAACTGTTACTCAAGATCATTTTCACTGTCAATGCCTCAATGAATACATTCACTTGTTTATTCATAGTCTTTTTTCTACTGACAAACAATTCTCCACTATGTAATGGTTTTATCAGAAATCTTGTATCAGTCCCACAGCAGTGATATGTACAACAGCTAATGCTTATTTCAGTCTGTAGGCCGTTGTTGTGAGTGTGGACGGAGCATATACAAGGTTATCTTATCCTGATCGATCCGATCTCCATTCAGAAAACACGCATTTTAAAAGGTGTTCCGCCTGCCGTCTGTCTGCAGACTTGTCAAAGCATTAATTCATGGTTTTTACTGACCGGTATCAGTATGTTGTTACTTCGGCATCATTTAGAAACGTGTATTACAATTAAATCACGGTAAAATATGTTCATTTTTTTTAGTTGTAGCCCCCGAGCCAGCGCGTCTTGTTTGAATGATGCGAGTAAACACAGCTGACAGCCGTGGTGAAACTCGAGCGATTAGAGTGAAGCGAATATTCACATCGCGTCCGGTGTGAACGCACCATAAGAGACAGTGCAGATAAGATAGCACGCTAACCTGTTATAAAAAGAGTCAAGCACACGTGTAAAAATAGCAGTATTATTAAAGTAAGTAAACTAACAGCCACAAATTACATTACATGAATGCACACAATGTACAACAATATCTGTTTTTATTACTGCCGATTTTTATTCCACATTTTATTCCATCCCATGTAAACACTGTTATATTTTACTATATTTTTTATTATTTTTAATATTTTTCTAGTTCTCTATCTGTGTTTTAAAATGTTTGTTTTACTTGTATCTATGCACCATGACATCAAGTCAAATTCCTCGTACGTGTCACCCTACCTGGTGATAAACCTGTTTCTGACTCTGAAATAACAACACATATAAAGTATATATATGTGAGGCTGCAAATCGACTGTGCTGCTCGTTTGATATCAGTTAGTGTAGCTAACACCCATTAATCCCCCACGATGCATTGCACTCACGTTGGAGTACCCCTGCACACACAGGATCTGCTCCAGCAGCGTGGAGAAGCAGGTGAAGGCGGCGATGCCCGACCCGAAGCAGAGCATCAGAACCAGGTAGGCTCGGTTCCTCAGTAACTGACAGGGTGACATGGAGAAAGGACAATGAGGTCAGTGAAACATTTCAGAAGGAGACCAAATATAAGCTGGCAAAGAGAACACACACAAGGAGAAACAAAACTAAACATTAAAGGTCACCTATTATGCTATTTTTAGGCATATATTATGGGTCTCAGATATATACCAATATATAAAAAAACATGTCTATGATGTGTTTTGCTCAAAATACCAAACAGATCATGCATTTTAGACATCCCTCATATCCCTCTGTTTCAGCCTGTAATGGCGCAGTTCCACTGCAGCGCGGAGCTCGCTTTAAGCGTGCCGTGTCGTGCCGTCCCCTTTTTTGGTTGTGCTTCCACTAGGCCAATTACCGGCGCGGCACGGCGCGGGGCCACTTTTTCACCTCTTTTCTGGCCCTAGAAAATTGTGGTTCTATCGGGGCCAACAAACAGGGCTGAGTCGGGCTGAGTATGCTAAACTAGAGAGAGGAGCGCTGGCAAGAGGGCTAGAACTACAACAAGATGGACATATTTGACCGTGATTTAATTGTAATACACGTTTCAAAATGATGCCGAAGTAACAACATACTGATACCGGTTAGTAAAAACCATGAATTAATGCTTTGTCAAGTCTGCAGACAGACGGCAGGCGAAAAACCTTTTAAAATTCGTGTTTTTCTAGATGGAGATTGGCTAAGCTAACGCAGTATATGCCCCGACCGTCCACACTCACAACAACGGCCTATACAGACATAAATAAAGCAGCGACTGTATTCACCATGACACAGGCAGTCTGTGGTGTGTACTTGTTTAACTTTTGTCTAGTTTCTGAACATATATAAGGAGCTGTGAGCTCTGAGTGCTAACGGCTAACGGCTGTGTTGTGTTTCTGGATTTCTCATTGAAGATGACGTCACGGCTCCGCCTACACTGCGTTACTATAGTAACTACCCCAGTTCCTAAACTGTAATGGAAGCGCAGCATGAAGTGAGTCGGCCCTGTTAAGGCCCAACGCGGCCAAGCCGTACCGAGCCGTACCGAGTGTGGCCGAGGCCGACCGTGTAGTGGAAATGCGCCATTAGAGAACTGCAGGTTCAGGGTCCTTAGGGGAGGCGGAGCTAATGCCTGCTCAGAATGACCCAGCAGCTACAGTTAAATGCTGCCGTGATTATAGAACATCATGTTCCAAACCACATCAAGGATTATTTCTGAAACAGTATGGAGCTCAAAGGCTTTCTCTCTTGAGGGTTTATCACAAGGTGAGTTCCTTTTTATTTCCTGCTTCTTCACACACATGCTCTCCAGTACAGGTTAGCTCTGAGTGTTAGCGATGCTAATGTAAACACCGACCATATTATGTCCAAAACACGTCGGGCATTGTTTCTGATAGCAACGTTTCTGATAGTGCCGTGGGTCCACATTTCAGATATTACGTCATATCGGACGCAAATCTGGATCAGCTCCGTTGTAGCCCCGTTTTTAGAGATTTGGGTACGGAGGAAAAGAGAAAGGGTTTTATTTTCTGACGCTGCGTGAGTTTCCTGACACACCGGGGACACATATTTATGTATAAAAGACATCAAAAAGTGCATTTTGCATGATAGGAGACCTTTAAAATGAAATGAGTGTGTGTTTCTGTGTCGTCCTCACCAGTTTGATGCCCTGTACGAAGGGCTCTGAGCCGGAGGACTCGGCGCTGGCTGACGGCGGCGTGGGGGGGGAGCTGCTCCGTAGCCCCACTGTTGCTAGGAAACAGATGATGCACGCCGGGACTGCATAGGCCAGCAGCTAGAGGGGGGACACACACACACACACAAATAATGTGATGAATGGACTTTGGCACCTGAAATCAAAAACCATTCATCATCATTAGCAGGTGAGCAGCCGCAATCCCACAATGCACTCTGGGAATCCAATTATTATAGCGAACTGATGTCTCTTTTAAAAATATTTTTGGACAGTTTAACAGTTGATGGACAGTTGAAAGTAGACATATGCAAAAAGGCAATCAACAGGGTTTAAATCCAGGGACATGATTGTAGTTACTTGCATTCAGGACACCTCATTACAATAAAGATATCCAAAGAATGTGCTGAATAGCTTCAATCAAAACATAGATGTTCTGTTTAAACCTGGTATTTCTGCACAGGTGTTCTCTGATCTTAATATTTAAGTTGTATATTATTTATTAGATTTCAGTGGTTGCGTAACATATTTTCCAAACATGTCAAAATATCTCGTGACCGTTGTACAGTGCAAAAGTCAAAATGTATTTAAAAAGCAACATGTGTTTGTTTAAGGAGATAATCTGGTTCCATCCATACTTTGTGACGTTTAGCTTTTCAACTCAAGTCAAAACACGGTTTGCTCTTTCCTTGCTGCATGATGAGGGAGGCACAAACGGATGAGTTATAATCAGGGGTGCACATCAGTTTCTTAGTGAGTTACTCAAATGAGTACCAGGAGACAATGTTTGGTACTCAGGGCTGCCCACGCAAAGTTCTGTGTTCAGCCCCTCTGTTTCGCGAACGTCGACGGGGGGGTGGTATTGAACGTCGACGGGAGGGGTGGAGGTGGGCGCTAGTGGAGCACGGGCGTGGAACTCGCACCGGAAGTTGTGTCACAATTCCGTTGTCCTCACCGACGTTACCAGCAGCCCCGTCTGTGCGCACGGCGACCGGCTCTGTCGTCCAGTGATCGAAGCGCCTTCTGGAAATGCTTCACAAGTCCGGCGGTACGCAAATGCGCTTAGTGAGACAAGTGACGGTACGCATTTCAGATGTTTGCCGCGCATGCGTACCACTTATGTGCACCCCTGGTTATATTCATTATATCACAACAAAAATGTATTTAATAATAAAAAGACTGATGAAGTACATTATGTTTGATGCTTGGGATGTAAAATAAAAACCTCCAGTACAGCCCTGGTTGTTAAGAGATGCTTTTGTAGTAGTTAACGTTGGATGAATCATTAAAGTTACTGCTTTTGCCCACTTAAAAGGCAGAAGATTGCACACATTAGAACGTGTGAAGTTGTTTTGGCCGACTGAGCTCAGCAATCAGTCGCCTTTAACCCTCCATCACACACAGAGCAATATCAGTATTCACTGGAAGTCTAGTTCAACATCAAAACTGCTGCAAAGTCCTGCCAGGAGATTGAAAACATTTAGAAAAAATACAGTAAAACATGGACAATGATACTAGTGAGAATTGAAAGTTAACCCAAATTGAAAAAGCCATGTTAAAAAGATAGGTTTTAAATTGGCTTTTAAACATTTCAAGGGAGTTTGCTGTTCTAAGAAAGAAGTCTCTTTGTGGCTCACCAGGTCGGGGATGTCTCCAGATGTTTGAGTCATCCATGGAGAGAGCATGCTGGCCAGCAGCATGCCCAGAGGGTTAGCTGAGGAGAGAAGAGAGAAACTGGTTTATGTCCTGTGGTAAAAGCACTACAAATAGTTTTAAACTGGTTATTAAACAGCCTGAGATCTGTACCTGACCCACAGGAGGAGCCTATGTGTTTGCTTTTTACAGGCAAAGTAACATTTTCTCTTATGGTTTAGTCTTTGGCAGAGGTGGGAAGTAGTGGAGTACAAATACTTTGTTACTGTATTTAAGTACATGTTTCTGGTATCAGTACTTTACTCCACTACTTATTTTTCTGACGACTTTTTACTTTGACTTCTTACATGTTGAACCCAAATACCTGTACTTTCTACTTCTTACATGTTGAACCCAAATACCTGTACTTTCTACTTCTTACATGTTGAACCCAAATACCTGTACTTTCTACTTCTTACATGTTGAACCCAAATACCTGTACTTTCTACTTCTTACATGTTGAACCCAAATACCTGTACTTTCTACTTCTTACATGTTGAACACAAATACCTGTACTTTCTACTTCTTACATGTTGAACACAAATACCTGTACTTTCTACTTCTTACATGTTGAACACAAATACCTGTACTTTCTACTTCTTACATGTTGAACACAAATACCTGTACTTTCTACTTCTTACATGTTGAACACAAATACCTGTACTTTCTACTTCTTACATGTTGAACACAAATACCTGTACTTTCTACTTCTTACATGTTGAACACAAATACCTGTACTTTCTACTTCTTACATGTTGAACCCAAATACCTGTACTTTCTACTTCTTACATGTTGAACACAAATACCTGTACTTTCTACTTCTTACATGTTGAACACAAATACCTGTACTTTCTACTTCTTACATGTTGAACCCAAATACCTGTACTTTCTACTTCTTACATGTTGAACACAAATACCTGTACTTTCTACTTCTTACATTTTGAACACAAATACCTGAACTTTCTACTTCTTACATGTTGAACACTAATACCTGTACTTTCTACTTCTTACATGTTGAACACAAATACCTGTACTTTCTACTTCTTACATGTTGAACACTAATACCTGTACTTTCTACTTCTTACATGTTGAACACAAATACCTGTACTTTCTACTTCTTACATGTTGAACCCTAATACCTGTACTTTCTACTTCTTACATGTTGAACACAAATACCTGTACTTTCTACTTCTTACATGTTGAACCCAAATACCTGTACTTTCTACTTCTCACATTTTCCAAACAGGCTGGTTCCTTTAGTTTGAATGTGTGTTTGGTGGCGTGATCATTATTATTTAGAGTCATTGCGTGCCTATTGATTTGAACACGATCTGTGTATCCATCATTTCCTGGTCTTCTCTAAAGAAGAGGGACCAATGAAAACGTTGTCATGTTGCCGTTGTTCAGCATGGAAACATTCATTAGCTAACAATGACATTATTGTTCTATTAATATAAAGGGAGGTCAGGTACTCTTTAAAACAGCTGCTAGTTATGGGTACTTTTTACTGAAGTACATTTCAAAGCCCATACTTCTTTACTTTTACTTGAGTAAAGAAGTTTAGTCAGTACTTTTAAACACGAGTATCTGTACTTCTACTTGAGAAAAGGATGTGTGTACTTTTGCCCTCTCTGGTCTTTGGACAGATTTGACCAAACCCCACCACCTGCTCTCAGTGACACCAGAGAGTGCATCCCTCACCCATGGAGGCGATGGTGTTGGCGGTGGCGCGCTGGTTGTCGGGGAACCAGAGAGCGGCCATCTTGGCGGGGGTGAAGACGACGAGCGGCTGAGCGATGGCGGCGAGCGTCTGGCCGAACATCACTAAGGGAAACCGGGCTGCAGGGTCAGTGGAGATCCCCGTCCCGAGGAATCGAACCAGCGCCCCGAACATGTTGAGCCACGCGCCGAGGATCAGCTGCAGGGAGAACAGGACAGATAGATAAAAGCTTGGTTGGTGATTGGCTAATGGTTACACAAGCCAAAAAATCGTTATGACATCATAAAGTGGCCAAAATCTGATCAGCTCATTTTCAGACAGGTTTTTATAGAAATGGATCAGGACAAAAAGTGAGCGAATCTTTTTTCCTCAAACTTTCAGAATCTCTTTCCACAGAGGGGACACATGTTGATGTATAGAAGACATGACAAAGTGGATTTTGCATAATAGGTGACCTTTAAATAGTGTACGCAGCTATTGCCCTAATATTTTGTCGCTGAATCCTCCCAGTAAATCACAGGTTCCTTATTTATGTCCAGAGCGAGGTGTACCGTGATCCGCAGCCCGAGGACGTCCAGCATCCAGGAGGTGGCGAAGCTGAGCGGGATGGCCACTATCATGTAGATAATGGAGAGCCAGTTGACCTGTTCCAGACCCACCTTCAGGTACCGGGCCGACTGGTCCGCCACCGGGGCGAAGCTCAGCCATAACTGGGAGGACACAAAGGACAAAATGTGGTCAAATATATGTTTTATTTTAGCAGGATACCAACAAACGTTCTCTTTGTGGAGAGCTTTCAGTTAGTTTGGGCGACAGATGTTCATTCGGCTGATTTACAAATATATTAAAAGGTGTAAGTTACAGATGGTAATCCATGAAATTTGTGTATAACAATCATTAGACTTTCCTGTTGTTCATTATATCGTGTTATAAGTGTGCAGATAATACTTGAAGGATTCCCTACATTCTCAGACACTCAAATCCAGCACCAGACACTTTTTACGCTGCTATGGACAATCTTGCACTAATGCACATTTCTTAAAGTTATTGAAGTGACTGTTATTTTGTATATATTGATTGTTGTGCTTTTATTGATGTCTTAATGTGTGCATATGTATAAATGTGTCTGTTGATTGTGTATATATAGGATTGGATATACATATTTGTATACATATTTTATATACAGTGTGCTCTGATTGGTCAGCTCGCCCACTCTGTTCTGATGAGTCCACCACCGTTACAGCGGAACATCAGTGATTATGTGTTACAATGGCGTTTGTTAGCAACCAGAAAATGACACCAGTAATGACAAACAGATGAGAATACTGCGTGGGGTCTGGGTGCCGTGTTGGCGGGACGTTGCGGGGCTCGCTGCTCCGCCCTTTGAGGCTCGAGGAGCGGACAGTGTGAGCTGGATTACTGGTGTCGTTTCCTGGTTGCTGCGTGGGGTCTGCGAGACAACGAGACACCGCGGAGCTCAGCCTGAGCACACACACACACTCACAGCCTGAGCTCCGAGTGTGTGTGTGTGAGAAAAGATAAGGCTGAGTGAGTGTGTGTGTGAGGAGCCGTTACGTTACCATACCCAGGAAGAAAAAATGGAAAAAGAGAAATGTCCAACGAGGCGTTCTGGGGCAGCATAGACAGGTCTTTTCTGTGTTAGAGTTTTACTCGCTACAGGGTGTACTTTGAGGGTTTGTGACTCTGCAGACCGTTTACATGCAGAAAAACCTTCATAACACACAAGGGGACGGGTAATAACCGGAAAAGCATGACATGTGACCCGGACACGAAGAGGAAATGGCCCATCTGCTCAGCTAACATGCATGTCCTGAGAGAGTTGCTGAGAGAGTGAAAAGATATACGAGAAGTAGCCTTTATTTTAGGACGAGTATAAAACTACGAAACTGAGACATAATATAATATAATGAACAAGCTTCAACTTTGATAAAAACCTCTTTCACCATAACCCATACAACAGGGATTATACAGTAACCATGTTCCTGCAGGGCACGTAAACACATCCAAATGACTGCAATAACCTCTTTTTCTACAGGCAATGTGACTTGTTTTGTAAAAGTTAGCTTAGTAACCCAAAATCCAGGTTACACACGTATAACAAGAGATCAAGAAATGTGTTTATATATGAACCTGTATTTAGAAACAGCATTAAAGTGCATTCAATCAATCAATCAGCTTTATTGACGAGACTCAAGGTCCATTTTTTAAAAGACTTTCAAATATAAATAAAAAAAGGCAGTTATACCAATGTTTCCACAGACTGGTATCGTACAGCACTGAGTATTAAAGAGGACATGCAGCGTATAGAGATGATAGCTGTGATTAAATCCATCTAGCCTCTACACTACAACTCTCTGTTTGCTGACAATGAATACATCTATTTTAAGCAGTCGAGTCTTCGTGAGCTGGTCAGCTGATTTAGAGTCACAACGGCAGTTCTGTTTCTCACAGAGGAAATTAATAAGGTTAACATCATCCTTCTTTCCTTATTGTTGAGACCTTTTTCTGTTTGCAGAGTCTCCGTGATACTAGGGCTGAACGATTAATCGATTTAAAATTGAAATCGCGATTTGAAATGATGCAATTATCAAATCGCAAAGCCTGCGATTTTTAGTTCTTCTTGTGTGTCAGTCATCCACACCAATCAGAAGTGCTGTGCTCCACATGTACCAGCCATTGTTAACCAATCAGAAGTGGCCCATGATAGAAGGTGATTGACAGATTGATCCAATCCCCTGCCAAGTATTTTTGAAATACTTTTCCAAATGGCTTCCAATGGAGCTTTCCTAGATGGTTTGGTGAAACAAACCATCTGAGTCAGGTTAGTAATGCTCCATCACATGTTATCTATTACAGGGTGAATCTTAAACTGAAGCTTGACTTTAAAGCAGGGGTGTCAAGCTCAATTTCATCTCGGGCCACATCAGCATTATGGTTGCACTCAAAGGGCCGGTTGTAACTTTAAGACTATATAAAAATACATATATAAATATTTAGTATATATAAAATAATGTATTATATTACATTATTGCCTCTGCATTGGATTATTATCAGATAGGGTAATAACTTCATAATTAACTACGTCTGAAAGCAGAAGTCTAGGGCAAGTCTCTTCAGTGAGAATGTGACAAAATGATTTAAAAATTTAAAAAAATAATCTGAAAAAAATAAAAGTAACATTTTGAAAAGAAAGGCAAATTCTGAGAAAAAAGTCAATAGAGAGATGCATTGTGGGACATGAAGTTTATGGGCAACGTGCTTCTGTAAATCGGCATTCTTTCAGAGCTCTTGCGGGGCCACAGAAAATGAAGTCGCGGGCCGGATTTGGCCCCCGGGCCTTGATTTTGACACCCCTGCTTTAAAGCAACCCAACGGAAGTTTCATGTAAGTTTAGTTCTTCCACTCGTAGCTCGGGCTGCGGGGGTGCTAGAGACGGGAGCACGTTGATACGACCTTCCTAGCCGGAAATATGGCCGCATTTTACAATAAACTTCCGTTGGGTCGCTTAAAAACAAATATCGCAAATCGAATCGCAATATCTGTCAGAAAAATCGCAATTAGATTATTTCCCCAAATTGTGCAGCCCTACGTGATGCACACACTTTCACAATATGGTGACACTACAACAAGACCACGTTTATAGTTTCCACTAGTTTCATATCGTACTGAAACTACAGCACTTCATGCAGGTGCAGAGATTTTGGCTATAAATAATTCAAACGGTTCATAACCAAATAAAGAAAACAAAACATGTGATCTTTGATTTGCCATTACATATTATCTTAGTCACATTTTAAAAAAACACCTCTTCTTAAGATTGGTGTTAATGGTAAGAAAATGTACTATTTGTAAATACAACAGATTTAAAAACAAGTATAAAACATTGATTGATTGCCGGTTCACGTCCCGATCAGTCCAAAGAATTACTGAATTTAAATCAATAAACGTCCATCTTTCTTTCTTTCTTTATATTGTACATAAATGGCTATTCAACAACGTGAAACAAACCCAAACTTCTCAAACACATTTTTGCAATTTTACCTGAATAAAACGGTCTAAAATGTGCAGTAAATAACTATTATTCAAATTTGAGTCATTTAGATACTATTGGTATTTTACATTTTAATATTTGCTTCCATACCCACGCATAATGGGAAATGGCTTTTAGCACTTCTTCGTTTATAGCGTTATATATATTTGTATTTTTGTATTCGGGATTGTGGGAAACGGTATTTCGATCTCTCTGTCTGAACACACAAACTGATAGACAATAAAGTTGACTTTGACTTGACTTTGACTTAACAATTTTGGCTTATTTATTTCAAACAAAGCTTCTGGTGTTTCATATTCTGCATGCAGTGTTTCCACATGACACTCTCTGTGATTTAACACAATGTAAATATGGTTATGGCTCTCAAAATGAATCCTAAATCAATTTACAAGCCAACTACTGTTATTGTTTTTTTGTAAATCCCCCCCTGAGGCCTCAGTTTGGATGCTAAAGGCCGACTGATAGATGTCTAACTGGCCCATCGGCTGTTGTTCGCTCCGTCATGAATGACTGTCGGCAAGCTGAGCGTCTTTTGTGAGAGGGAACAGCCCCACCCCTGGAAACAATGGTGCTCACAGAGAGGACCATAGAGAGGACCATAGACAGGACCAGTCCCCATGGGAGCTGGGGGGGTGATGGAGGTGACGGACGCTCAGTTTGCATGACTGAGACGGCACACTTTGCCTCCAGGCTCACTCTGATGATTATGGCATCTCACCCTGGGGAACTATATCAGTATCCAGGAAACATAAGGAGGCGCCACATGTCATTGACACACTGTTCACAGATACACCTGCTTTATCAGTGCAGAAAGATGGCCAGATATCTGAGTAAAAGGACAACAAGCTGTCAGGGATTCAGGTTGCAGCTTTTGTTTTGAATGTGGAAACACAGGTTTGTGTAATTAGAAACTTCTTGGCTTTGTGATTTGTTCCCACAGATTGTAAATGTTTCTGCTAATACGGACGCTAGGCTGGAGCTTAATGTATGGTGTGACCAGACTATTTGAGTAATATTGGGACACTGTACTCAGTTACTGTGAATTAGTAGGCCTACAATGTTGAGGTCATTTCTTATGCTACGTTATACTTCTCCTCAACTACAATGTGGAGGCTATACTGTACTTTTCACTCCACCACATTTGTTTGACAACATTATTCAATTAGAAAACTCAGATTAAAAGAAAAAAATTAATCATGTTGCTTCATAATAATAATAATAATCATTTACATTTTTATTAGAGCGCTTTTCAAGGCACTCAAAGCGCTTTACAATTACACATTACACATATTAGACATGTAACAGTTTGATTATAACCCAGCTACTATTTGTATTATGGATGTAATAACAGAGTAATAGGGCTGTATTGATGTGTAATATGGGTGTAATGTACACAATACAATACCTACTCTGTTGTTGATGTTGTGTTATGTACACACACACACACACACACACGTTAACTCACCGTTGCGTTGGAGCAGTTCAACAGACATAGAACCAGCAGAACAAACCACCTCCTCTTGTAAACTTTAAAAGATAACAGTTTCTTCAGCTCAGTGTTCGGTGAACCGGGAATAACACCGGCACAACCCGTTTGAACCTCGGAGCGGTTTTCTTGGTCTCCCTCCATTAATACCAACGGTACAAGTTTACCGGCGGTTAGGCTAGGTGGCTAGTGGCGTTAGCTAACACTGTACAACACAACATTGTATCGTTAATGTAATGTAATGTTAATGTAGGCGGTGACAGAGCCGTTACAAAAACATAGTATAAGTCCTTAAAAACATATTATATCTCCTTTAAAATACAAGCAGTGAATCCATGGTGTTGTCTTGTGATGGGTTATGACATATCTGATAAAAAAGACAGCAGTTTGACGGCTGGGAGAATCGAAACACAAACACCGCTTCATGGTGCCTTGGTTCAGGAACAACACTACTGGGAGTGGACTGTAACAAAGATCTTCTACAGTCAAGATGAACCACTCCGTAAATAACACAACAGACCGGTAAATACACGTTTTTCTACATTCAAGATTGAAGGCTTTTATGGTCATGTGTGCATAGCTACAGTGTAGTTATGACAATGTAAATCTTAGGTCACAGGCTCCTCCAACATTGCAACACAATAAAACAGATAATAGTGCAAGTAAATACAATTAAATAGAAATAGAAATAGTGCAGAATAGTCTATACAAGTAATTGGAATATTGATATAAGTTGCAAACAGATGAATGTTATGGATGTTCTTTCAAAATGTCAGGTGTTTAATAGTCTTATGGCCTGTGGGATGAAACTGTCCCCAGGTGGTTTTAGTCCTGATGCTGCGGTACCGCCATATGTGAAACTATAAAACTGTTTTGCTGATCAATGGGAGATTGTTGTGTTGACTTTTGATTGTATTTTTGGTTTCTTGTTACTGTAAAATGTGTAAGCTGCTGTGACTGACAGACCCTCGATTTGTGAGTAACTGGCAGGTCAAATATGACCAGAGGTGGGAAGTACTGTACTTAAGTACCATTTTGAGATACTTTTACTTTACTTGAGTATTTCCATTTTTTGATCTTTTGTATTTCTACTCCACTACAATTCAGAGGTTAATCGTGTACTTTTACTCAACTACATGTATTTAATATGTGTACTTGTAACAGAGTATTACTACACTCTGGTACTTCTACTTCTACTCAAGTACAAGATCTGAGTACTTCTATTTTTACTCAAGTACAAGGTCTGAGTACTTCTACCTTTACTTGAGTAACATTTTGAATGCAGGTCTTTTACTTGTAACAGAGTATTACTACTCTGGTACTTCTACTTTTACTGAAGCACAAGATCTGAGTACTTCTACTTTTCTGAAGTACAACATCTGAATACTTCTGCTTTAGCTCAAGTACAAGATCTGAGTACTTCTACTTTTACTTGAGTAACATTTTGAATGCAGGTCTTTTACTTGAAACAGAGTATTACTAAACTCTTGTACTTCTTCCACCTCTGAATATGACTTTTCTTCTCCCTGCTCCTTTCCATCCTGGGTTCAAAAACTGCTTAAAGTTTACAATTTTTTCTTTTAATAATAATTGCCACGAGTGGAATAAACTAATACATGAATAAATATAATCTGTTGAGCATCAGGGCTGGGACGGTTACTTTGAAATGTACTCAGAGACTTAAAGGTGGGGTATGTAATTTTGGAGAAACCAGCTCGAGTGCGCTAGAATTTGAAAATACACAGCCAGAAGAAATCTGCCACTTCCTTACAGAGCCCCTCCTCCAACACACACGAACGCGCACATGACCAATGAGGGCACGAGATAAGTCTGTGCACAGATGGAAGGCTGACAGGCAGGTAGGCCATCCAGTTATTTTTGCCGGGCCGGGTAAAATGATTGGTCTAACTTTTTACAGTACTACGGCTTCCACAGATGAAATGTTTTATGGATTCTTTGTCAAAGCACTTCAGATATTCATTGCTATCGGGATGTTAAGAGCATTCCATGCAATATAACAAAAAGTGTATCTCGAGCCGGTTTCTCAAACTTACCTACCCCACCTTTAATAACACGTGTTGTCTTATTCATGATGACTGCAAAAGGGGGGGTTTAACAATCGCAACATATTTAAAAAGCAAACTAAATGCATTGTGCATGTTTGCATACAGGCTACAGGAGTACTCTGTGTATTCTACAACATTTAGGATGCTGTTTCTGTTTTCTTTTACCGCTGTCTTTTCATAAAAGTCCACATGGAGGTATTGGAAAAACAAATGCCTCTGTGTGACCTTTGATTAAATAAAATAGCCGTCTTTGAAGGACAAGTTATCCTTGACAATGCAACTTTAATCTAATCTAATTTACTAGACCCATATTATTGGATTGTAATCATCGATGCATTACGTGTTCCTCACTGGTAAAGCTGAGGCTAATTTAGTCGTATCTAAATCCCCAAATATATTTAGTAATCAAAGAAAGGAGCAGATCACAAATCCTAAAGTCTGTAAATAAAAACAAAACAAACAGCATGGCATGTAGACATACACAATAAGATAGGATAAGATGGACCTTTATTGACCCAATAGGGAAATGCAGGTGTCATAGCAGCAGCAGCAGCAGCAGCAGAAGAAGACAGAAGCACAGATAGTACACACAGGATAATACAAATTTAAAAAAAAGAATAATAAGAATAAACATGTAGTAATAGCATGAATCGAGATAACAAAAATGACATGATGAGGATATCATAGAAGCGGTTTCAATCATCTTTTTAAAAAAAACAATCAAATGGTGTGTTTTATTAGGAACAGGAGTAGTCTTACTTTCCTCAGTTTGCATTATTGAATAATTGTGTTAAATGTTGTCCTCCAAAAGGCGAAATGTCTTTATTTACTTTCTGTAGCTGGTAATAGGAACAGAGTGAGAGGTCTTCTCTTCCTGATCTTCTCTGAGCTCTGAACACTCCTCCTGTCTTTAACCCTTTGTGAGTCCCTTTCCGACAAACTTCACACTGAAACTGCTTCATCGACACATTCCTCTCAGGTCATGTTCGCTTTCTCTTTGACAACAGCTGAGGATACTAAGAGGCAATTACTTTGCTTTGCTTGCTCAAGGTTCAAGGTTCAAGGTCCAAGGTTCAAGGTTCTTTATTTGTCAAACGGACATAGTTACAGTGTAGTTATGTCGATGAACATCTTGTGTCACAGGCTTCTCCAACAGTGCAACACAAAACACAGATAAACAGACAAATATAGTGCAAGTAAAGAGTAAATAGTAAATACAAGAAGAAAAATAGTTTAAAAAAGTGAAATAGTGCAACAGTCTATATGCAAGTCATTGAAATATGATATATTAGGTAATAGATACATCATTTTTAAGTAGCAGCCAGATGAATATTGTGGATGTTGTTTCAACAGTTTCATCACAACTGCTCTGTGATGATTTGAATTGTCAACCAAATCCTTTCATTTTAGGGCCTTTAAATGAATAAAGGGTGGGCTTATTGGTGCTGTTTAACGTTTAATGTGTTCAATTTGTATTCATCTATTTTGAAGGATGAACATTTATTTTGATGTCTAAGTATTTCCCCTCACTTCCACTCAGTCTGCTACATATAGGAATATAAAGGAACCAGTATAAAGTGTATAGCACATTTGTTACAGTAAGTAAAGAGCCACATATAGCTTAATATCACTCAAGAAGCATACACATATTAAAAGATACAATTAGAAATCACAACATTACAAAATACACATCTAGTACCAGTCACAGTTTAGCGATATAGCAGCCAGGTGAAAGGATTAAAGGTGGAAGTATATATATTCCACAGCTATTTACGGTAAATATATTTAGCACATAAGTAGTATTGTCTTTGTTGTTATATGTGTGTGTGGGGGCCGTGTTTGACTTTATATCAAAGGTGGGACCAAGTCATTGCTTCACAAGTATCAAGACTTTGCACTCAAGTCAAGAGTCCTAAACTTTTATTATTGAGTCATAAGAAGTTAAAATGTACTCTTCACTCATTTCTACCATCACATTTTTCATAAACTGTCGCATAGTGTTCCAAGCAAATAATGATCTCTGGTTTAATCTTCTCCAGCTGTGATCAGTAACGTAAGGCTAGTTGTTTTCTTATCTAAAAGTCCCTCGTACCGTAACCTCTTTATACGAAGATCAACGTCACTGGGAAGTAACTCCGTCTTGATTGAATTAATCTAAACACAGCCGGAAGCTTTAAATCGAGTTACTTTGCATCCTGCAAAGAAAAGATGCTGTGTTGTGCTGGAAGATTTGAATTTCAACTCTTGAACAAAAACACATCTGCAGCAGCGTGAGTCTGACTCATCGATGGTCAGCAGATGTTAGCCTGTGGCTTTGCTAAAACAGACATGTTGGACTCTTTGTGTTTCAACATCATTACTTCCTGTTAGGAGCGAGCAGCGTGCAGCGAGCCATGTTTCGTGACAAAAGTTCCCACTCACACTCTTGTAGTTTAACCACAGCAAATCTTTACCAAACCCCAGACCTCTTCAGAAAACCAAAGCCATGTTCAACTTTATATCTACGAGGATGAGGGCCACATGTGATTTCTTTTTTTAGATCTGAACAAAAGGGACATTTTTGTAACGAGTTCTGAGAAACAAGTCAGAATTGTGAGAAGAAATACGTGAAAAATACAGAATTATGAGAAAAAAGATGTGAAAAATTCAGAATTATGAGAAAAATACGTGAAAAATTCAGAATTATGAGAAAAATACGTGAAAAATTCAGAATTATGAGAAAAAAGTCAGAATTCAGACTTTTATAATTCTATTTTTGCTTTGAAATTCTCAATATCAGAAAAACACTTAAAATAAGTTCCCCTTTGGTCAGATCTCCCACATTTTTTTCAGATGTCTTCCTAATCCTCTTCCAAACAACCATCCCTTGTGTTTAAATGTGATCGGTCTAAAATATTCTGAATATTGGCTCATCTACAGAAATAAATTGATCTGTTGGTACAGTGCCCTCCATCGGTGAGTTTAGAAAGATCTGGAAAGCATACATTTCCGTTTCTCTGGAAGTATGAAGTCATAATGTTATGGTTTAAGATTTTTAACTTAGTATTTTGAGGGCTTTTTCCAGAACAAGTGTAATAACTTGCGCCGAGGAAGTTATGTTTACAGTTTGGTTCGGAGTTCTTCAGCAGGATAATGGAAACGCCACTCATCCATTTTTCTTTTAACGTGGAGGATATCCGAATGATGGGGAGTAAACACACATTATTTGTCACATATGGAACAGGCCATGGATGCGGTCTGTGCCCTCCGTGTGCACTTCTAGTTTCTACCTAAAACTGGGTTGGATGATGGAAAATAAAATGTACAATCGGATATTTTAGGTTTTGAGGATTTTTTGAGGAATGTTTTGGACTGATGTTGAGTATTTTCTCAAAAGAAAAAACGGGATGAGCGATAGAAATTCAGGATAAGGACATGTTATAACTTTAAAGGTGTTGGATTTGATAAAAATATTGTGTATAACACATTTTATTTTGGGAAAGTGTCACATTCACAAGAAGAGACGAACTGACTGTATAACACATGTTGCACATTTTCACTTAGAATTACAACAGTATGGCTCCGCTATTACAACTATTAAAATTAGAAGGCAATCAAAACCAAATGTATATTTCATAAATAATTTGACTTGAAACGTTACCTTTTGTTTTTATCACAATTGTATTTATATTTCTCTTTATTTCTTAATATCTTTTAGTTTAATTGTTTTACTCTGTACGGCAAGGCAAGTTTATGTAGCACCTTTCAACACAAGGCAATTCAAAGTGCTTTACAAAAATGAAAGACATTAAGAAACATATTATGAAATGATATCTAAAAACACTAATTTAAAAGCAAAGGTACATGAATAAAAGTCACAGTGCAGTGTGAGATACACACATCTGAAATGTTTAGGTCTGACTGACTAGTTTTCTATGACCTCCCTTTCTTTCTACTTTCTTGTTTAACTTGTCCTTTAGTTATCTCAAGTGTTTCATGCTAAACGAACCCCCCTTTGGAAAATTCTAATCCGACCCCATGGTACCTTTTAGTATTCACCAAAACTATTCCTCTTTTTTATAAATGCCTTAGTTAAAGGTAGGGTAGGTAAGAATGGAGAAACCAGCTCGAGTGCGCTAGAATTTGAAAGTAAGCAGCCGAAAAAAATCTGCCCCTTCCTTCAGACTTCCTTACAGAGCCCCTCCTCCAACACACACGAACGCGCACATGACCAATGAGGGCACGAGATAAGTTTGTGCACGAGATGGAAGGCTGACAGGCAGGTAGGCCATCCAGTTATTTTAGCCGGGCCGGCTCAGATGATTGGTCGTGCTTTGTACAGTATTACGGCTTCCACAGATGACATTTTGTATGTATTTATTGTCAAAGCATTTAATATATTCATTGCTATCGGGATGTTAAGAGCATTCCATGGAATATAACAAAAAGTGTTTCTGAAGTGAATTACCTACCCCACCTTTAATTTAAAGTTGTCTTTTCTAGGACTTTTTTTGGTGTACTCCGTGAACCAGGGTCTTGAAACCAAAACGGCACACGTAGGGGACTTTAACCACCTATGAGGGGACTTTAACCCCAATACACGTGGGGACTTTAACTACCTACGAGGGGACTTTAACCCCAATACACGTGGGGACTTTAACACTCAAAATAATAAGCCTGAATATATCAATTAAAACCAGCGGCAAAATGGCATTTAAAAACAGTCATTAAAAAGCCAAGATACCTATGTACCCCTGGTGTCCATGTGTAACTTATTAGATATTATTATTATTATTATTATTATTACACGTGTTGTATATAATGTTTGATGTACATATATTTAGTTGAATAAATAGAAAATAAGATTAGTTAGCTGTAAGTACATTTTTATTTACTTTAAATGTGATGGATTTGATACAAATGTTTACTAATTCACATTCAAAAGAAGAAATGGATAATATTATCTTTGTATTTATATGTATCTATTTTTGTTTACTCTGTATATATTTTTTGATTTGATTTATTTTGAATGTGTAAAACAATAATACAACAACATAATAATAATAATAATAATAATAATAATAATAATAATAATAATAATAAGGAAATTAAACATGAGCATTATTATACTATACAAACTTAAGCAGTGTCGAATTGATAAACAAAAACATTACTGACTCTAAATTATATATAAACAAATGAAATATATGTACCTGTGTACCCCGGATGTCCATGTTTTGTATGTATTTAATGTTTGATGCACATATATATTTTCTTAAATAAAGGATATAGATAATAAAATCCCTTGCACTCATCAACAACACCCCCCTTCCCCCTCCACCACCTCCGGCTTTGCTTCTGCGCATGCGCACCACTCCACCACTGAGTGCTGTTCGGCCTGTTCCGCGGCCGCTCGGTCATTTTCGCCTCTTTGTTGTACTGATAGTGGATTTAACTCGGATTCAACCCAATATCCAGCGGACCGTGCTGCTCCCAAACAGGTTAGTTCTTCTTACTGTTCTGGTTCTGTCCATAGTCCGGTCCTCAGTGGGTCTGAAACTGGCTTACGGTCCCGGTTTGTGCCCCCCCACCTCCTCATTTTTCGCATGTCTCTTTCCGCCTGGTGCTATACGTGTTGTTTTATGTGTCTATGGGCTGGTGTATGGCGGCGCCGGGCCCTGCAGTTGCACATAAGGGATGGGGGTGTTTCAAGAGGGGGAAACCGTGCATGTGAAGCCGGGTTTAACGCTAGGAGAGCCGGGGTGCACACGGTTATCCGGCCCGGGGAAGAGGCTCAATCCCCGCCTCTCTCCCTGCCTGTCTCGGCATGTTTAAATCATAGGTTTAAATGCAACATTGTTTCTCTCACCAATTCTTCCCCATGGTCCACCATTAAGGCTCTTCCTGCTGCCGTCCAAAGTTCAGTGTGTGTGTGTTACTGTGTGTGTGTGTGTGTGTGTGCAACATCTACATGAGGTTGGGATTAAATCAAGACAACAGAAAGTTGGTGCATTTTTTTCTTCTTCAGGGTGGATGTCGCCCCTCGCCAGACTGCTGCTGCAGCGAGGAGCCTGTGTGACATTGTGGGGTGGGGGGGGAAGACATGCATAGAGCAGCCAACAAGTCTGTGCAGTTATTTGGGGGGGTGGGTTAGAGAAGATGCATCTGAATGATCTTATCAGGACAGAACCAGGGGTTTCCTCAACTTTTGCAACACTGGAAGCATGGTTGGGGTGATTATCAGGTCAACAGATGTAGGGGTCCTAGGTTTAAGCCAGGTTTAAACCTAGGACTCCTACATATTTTGTAGAAGATGCATCTGAATTAGCTTATGTCTCCACATGTTACTTATTAGATACTTTATCATCACCAGCACCAGGGTTTAAATTCTGGGGTTTCCTCAACTTTTGCAACACATGGCCGGTGTGATTAGCAGGTCAGAAGATGAAGGTGTCCTAGGTTTAAACCTGGCTTAAACCCATGCAGTTTTTTGGGGGGTAGAATATGCATCTGAATTATCTCATCACAGAACTAGGGTTTAGGTTCAGCGGTTTCCTCAACTTTCGCAACCCGGGTAGCATGGCTGGGTGATTAGCAGGTCAAAAGACGAAGGTGTCTTAGGTTTAAACTGGGCTTAATGGGGGGGGTGTCTATTTATAAGCATTGTGGCAACACTTAAAAAATCTCTTATTCAGTCCTTTATGTGTAACTGAGTCCCTTTACTTGACACTGAAAGGCTGTAACTAAGGAAACTTGTCTCTGTGCTCGTGTTGGTGAGTTTGAACAAGAGCAGGATAGTCTATTGAACCGTTTTGTGAAAAAAAAAACACAATCATAAATACATTTTTCTTTCTTTTCTTATGTTTTGACATTTTGTTAGGGATGGTGGATCCTTGAAATGTCTTAAAATACACTTGCAACTTTTCTCACGTGTCCCCATTCTCCTCTGACTTGTCTTTCTTCATAGATACTGACGTTTTTCCGCTAAAACACACATTTCTATTGGAAATATTCTGGCTGCGGTGATAGAAGGTAAAAAGATGAAGGTGCCTTGCGTTTAAACCTGGCTTAATGGGGGGGGGTGTCTATTTATAAGCATTGTGGCTACACTGTAAAATCTCTCATTGGGTCATTTATGTGTATTTGAGTCCCTTTACTTTGACACAGTTGTCACATTGATCTGCTGGAGAAGGCATTTCTAGGTGCTCATGGTAGTGAGTTCGAACAAGAGCAGGATTTTTGTGATGTTTAGACGCGTGTGATGTGATGAGAAGAGCCTCCAATGCACAGAGAGAGAGAACATCCTGTGCGTTAAAGTTTTGAAATGAAAAACATTTGCATAACCACAGATCTCGGACTCAATGAGGCATGAAGTGTAACTTGAAGAGTTTTTATCCAGGCTATTGAACCGTTCGGCGAAAAAGAAAACCCACATATATATTTATTTCTTTTCTCACGTTTTCACTTTTTGTTAGGGATGCTAGACCTCTTGGCCCTTTTTCACACATGTCCACATTCTCACCCGTCTTTCTTCACACACTGACATGTTGCTATTGGAAATATTCTTCTAACCTTTTATTCCAAAGGCTTATAGGACAGACATTATTTGATATGCCGAATAGCTTTCATTTCAAGGTGTAGTTGAGACTCGCTTCACATTTTAATACAGTCTCTTGAATCGCTGATGAATCAACTCTGACGCGTAACCTCCTCCACGTCTAATATCTTTGACTTTTCAACCAAATGAAGAGCATCAAATCGATGCATGACTGCACTTTTAGCCACAGACCTTCACACTGAGCAGGAGAATGTAAGAAGAGTTCAAGCTAGGACAGACTATTGACATTAAGGCCGCCTCAGGCACGCTGGCAGCATCGAACAGGAGTGTTGAAAATACGAAGCTCCAGAACCTGAATATCCTGCTAATCAGTTTATTACATGACATGTCATTTGTTAGACGCTTTTATCCAAAGCGACTTGCATACATTGAGTGCTGTGGACAATCCCCACAGGAGCAATTTGGGGTGAAGTGTCTTGCCCAGGGACACAACGACATGCTGACTGCAGTGGGACTCGAACCTGCTATCCCCTGATTCGAAGTCCAGCACACTACCCACTGAGCCGCAGCCTCCAGCCTTATGGTTTTCAAAGTGTGTAATTGTTTTTTGTGAGCTTCAATCACCTCAAATCCTGCAACATGCTGCTACTAAACTACACCCAGCGTGCTTGTGTTTTAACAGCGGAGCGACTCTGAGGCTTTACATCATCACAGAGGAGGGAGATCTGAGGGCAGCTTTTGATTATTCTTTTTATTTTGGTTTTCTTTTGTAAAAGTGTACCAGCTTGACACCAGAATCTAAATCTTTAGAGCATGAATGAGAAGTGAGAGGACGCTCCTGTCTGCCACAGCCGATGTAAACAGCTGGACCGTTTTGTTTGTATGATGAGATGCCCCCTTTCATATCTGTAAGCTAAAAGACCGGCAAGGAAAAGTTGATAGACGGAAAATAATCTCTTACTTTTGGGATAATGGATACATTTTTGGGGCATTTGTTTTTTTGACTGACAAATCCACACATTTAAAGACACCCCCGTGGACTTAGAGCAACAAGGATGGACATGTTTCCAATGTGTCTGACATTTCTAATGATGAATCCAGAAAAGAATGGCGATATGAATCGATAATGAACCTTTTGTAGCGACTTTAAAGCTAACCCTCATCTTGCTGGGCTCCATTCAAAGCCCCCCCGAAGGACCTCCCTGCCCTGAATGATGGTTCTTGGCCAGCTGAATGTAACTTGGCTCGTGCTGAACAGATCACATATGATATGGCTGTTGCGTAACACTGCACACACTGGCCAGGCATGTCAGGTTTCTGCTGACTTTGCAGGGAAGCCCTAATTGACCTGCAGCTTTTTTTTTTACTGCACAGCTGACCTCTGACCTGCAATTAAAGAACATCTCATTCGTTTTTTTTAATGCTACGGCAAGATTTATTGTGGATAATGTCCACACATTAGGAAAAAGGACATTTATTTTTGACCTATTAGCTCAAAACATGTCTCCACGCTCTGTTAATGGTCCCACTGGGCAGCAGGGATATGGCCTCTATAGGGCGAGAACGGCTTGATAATTAAAAAATTGTGATTTGAAACTCTGGAAAGATGCATTAGTCTTTTTCTTGTGGCAGGAAATGATCGCAGGCAGCTCTGTAAATTAGCTACTGAATAACTGTGGAGAATCCCACCTACAAATCACGCTGCAGTTTAAGGAAGCTTTTTAAATCCTCAGCACTGGAGGTTCAGTTTCTCTTCCTCAACACAGTTTCTTTGAACATTTTGTAAGAAGTGAGAAATGATTTCTGCTGACAAAGAAAACTAGATTACAGTTTCAGTATTCAGAAACACTGTGAAGTCAATTACATAGTGTTTGAACCGGTCAGCTCAGTATGATTTATATCCTGTAAGAAATCATGAGGGGTAAAAACATTTGGTTATCGACACTCTTTTATGCGTTGGTGACATTCTTTTTTGGGAGTTGAAATGGATAGATGCTGCATTGTTGGGTCTGAATGAAATCTCCGTTGGTTTATTATCTACTCTGTTAAAGGTGGGGTAGGTAATTCACTTAAAGGTGGGGTAGGTAATTCACTTCAGAAACACTTGTTATATTCCATGGAATGCTCTTAACATCCCGATAGCAATGAATATATTAAATGCTTTGACAATAAATACATACAAAAATGTCATCTGTGGAAGCCGTAGTACTGTAAAAAGCACGACCAATCATCTGAGCCGGCCCGGCTAAAATAACTGGATGGCCTACCTGCCTGTCAGTCTTCCATCTCGTGCACAAACTTATCTCGTGCCCTCATTGGTCATGTGCACGTTCGTGTGTGTTGGAGGAGGGGCTCTGTAAGGAAGTCTGAAGGAAGGGGCAGATTTTTTCCGGCTGCGTACTTTCAAATTCTAGCGCACTCGAGCTGGTTTCTCCATTCTTACCTACCCTACCTTTAAGTTTTCACACCAACACTCATGTATCCTCCTGCAGTGTGAGGTGTGAGTCACTGACGGTGCTTTTTGCTGTAGCGGACGGACACCCCTTAGTACTTCTAATGTTTCAATACATAGGTCTGATTGAAGTAAATTGAGTATAGGAGGTCTTTCATCCCGCAGCACTATTGAAGTCCTGACCACACCATACATTTTAAACCAGTACAATTTCTGTCTCAAATCAATACATTTAAAAAAGAGAGATGGGCAGAATTTGCATCAGTTGTGACTTTCTTTGACTTTAACATGCACATTTGCACCGTTCACTATCAGCAAGCAGTCTTAATAGTGTCGTTCTTTAAGGGATTTAAAGTAGGTCCTGGCAAGCTGGTAACATTGTTCAACCACAGTCCACCAAATGACATGATATCCAGTATTTTCCTGATTAAACGCTGATTCTAGATAGAGATGTCCCGATCCGATCACGTGATCGGGGATCGGAGCCGATC